TTTCGTATTGATTTTCGATGGTCTTACACAGTCAAATATAATTTATAGAAAAAGTGCACAAAAATATGCCTTCTTTTATTCGTTCGGTAGAAAATCACAGTGTCTTCATATGTTATGACCGAAAAAGGTGTATATTTAGGTTTTAAAAAAGTTTCCAAATTCCCGAATAATTTTGAGCCAGATCTGCCATTGCATCAGCGTTTTGCGATTTCAGTTTACAAGGTGCATGCTTTCCGCGTAAGGAGAACCATATATTCCTCTATGCCTTTAAGAAGATACCATATATAGTTCATAATATTTTGCAATGAATTCAGACTGTGTTGTACATTTCATGAGAAATCTCGGTAAACGGACATGTACGATGCCGTATATAGAGAAGACGAAGGCACGATCGCTGGGACGGTAGATTTACTAGCCACTATATTTTCAAGCCTGTGATCACGTCAAAAGACGCCTTATCTCACGAAGGGAAGAGAATATGCGCATCCCAGGTTCTTGTTTGAAAGAAGACGAAGGTACGATCACTGGGACAGTAGATTTATTTGCCCGAGCTTTCGAACTCGAACTGAAGCTCATCATCAAAGACTGCTAGAGTGCAGCAACGTGTGAACATTTATATCGTTGTTCCGTGCGGGGGGGATGACTGCGTCCGTGGCTAGGTCTGGCTTGTGCCGCCTGGTCCACGATGGTCCCCTGGCTTGGTGACGCCGTTTGTACCTCGCGACAATGTGAGCTGCGCCACCTGGCTGCGTGGGCGGAGGGCATGATAACACGCAGGCAAATCGATGTGTCTATTGTTAGAGTTGGTGTCCGACACCCACGCCTCCAACAGTTCTCGCCCCGTCTTGTTGCCGGCTCGCGCCAATATCCGCGTGTTGGCGAAGTCGACCTCATGGCCTTCCTCCAGCGTGAGAGTGGTGACTTGCGATAGTGGGTCGCCTCTTCGAACGGCCCGTTTGTGCTCAAGTATTCGTGAGCTGAGACGTCGTCCTGTCCGGCCTGCGTCGTAGCAAGGACAGTCATGACACGGGATTTGATAGACTACGCCCGACTGTCCACGTACGTCCAGCCGATCCTTCATTTTCATGATTCTGCTACGTATGGTAGCCGCCACATGTCAATTGGTCCCGGAGATGCCGTAGTTCTTGCATGCTTCCTTCGGGCTCGCTACTGTACGTTTTTACCCGGTCGAAAAGTCCAGACCAATAAATCTACCGTCCCAGTGATCGTGCCTTCGTCTTCTTTCAAACAAGAACCTGGGATGCGCATATTCTCTTCCATTCGTGATGCAGTATATATGTACATTTAACGGTCTTGAAAATCACGTAAGTAGAAACTTTTTAAACCTAAATATACACCTTCTTCGGATATAAAATATGAAGGCACTGTGAGTTTCTACCAAACGAGTAAAAGAAGGCATATTTTTGTGCCCGTTTTCTATAAAATATATTTGACTGTGTAAGACCATCGAAAATCAATACGAAAAATGCATGCCACTTAAGCAGTCATCTTTTGCAGATCGCGGTGTCTGCAGAAGGTCAGACGGGAGTGTATCCAAAAGCCGACATCCTGTGGAGGCCGAAATGCTATAGGATTATTCTGCATGCTAATTAATATTACAACCCCACCTAAGTAATCTTTCCTAATTGAAAACACATTTCAGAATTTCGGCCAACATTTCATGAGATCGGTCACGCACTGCACATATGAAGGTCAGCAGTCCTAAACTCCCTCGCACGAAATGTGCACCAGCGGTGCGCTTTCCATAGTTCCCATTGTTTGATCACGTGCTCCAAATGATGGTGACATATGACTTTCCTTTCTGAAGTAGCCTTAGCGTTTTCGAGGTACTTAAATGATGCCTTATTCATCCCATCAGGTTTCTGCAATTGTCTTGAATCACTCGGTATCCTCACGATGAGTTTCATTGAGAGTTCTTACACAAAACACATAATCAAACTCAAAAGAGGACAGAGATCAGAAGAAGTGTTGTGGGCGCGAGCTCACTACGCTGGCTTTTCAACCCCTGATTCTTTCTGGGGTCTGAGCTAAGCATAATGGACCTAACCCTTAAATTAAGCAATGAAACTTACGGTCTGTATTGTAAAAAAACGTACAAACAGACTTACCACGCTGAACTGGTTTTTCACTCCCGTGACTATCGAAACTGGACGTCTTTCCATCGTCTAGACTGTGAGTTATGGCAATATTCATCCGACGCAGTTGTGAAAAACTATACGGCCTCAGTGGGATTCAAATTCACGACGGAAAAGACAAGGCTTGAGCACAGTAAACGCTCTAATCATCTGAGCTATAAGGTTCCGACCGAGATCCTTGAATTGAGTCTGACGAGTTACCCAAATTGGCCCAGAAAACCATGTAGTAATATGCTTATGTCGCATTCAGTTAAAGCAGGAAGTTGGACATTCATCCCAATCAAAATATTGTTACTAACACACTTTTCGCGCAGTTTAGGAATTTCCGCCAATGGTAATGACCTTCGTCCACAAATCAGCCTGTTTCCGCAGTGATAGATTTTGTCCTTCAAACCCAACAAAACCAGGTGGTTGGCCTCACAAAGTAAAGTGGAGCTCGTTAAGCATTTGCAACCAATAGAGATCTGGGCTTCTAACTAACACGTCGCTAGTTGGAGCCTCGGGTGTTCCAGACTTCGGGGTTGGGTATGACTGGCTGACGACGGCTAATAAGCCAGAAATGGCCATTCCAGTCTCCATTGTCTTTGTCGGTAGTAACATATTGTCTATATCATACGCTGCTGTGCGGCTCCTGGTTGGGACTCGAGAGAGAGAGAGAACCCGTAAGGCACAACGTAACGAACGAGTTGCATAAGAACGATTGGTGGGTGCCTTCTACCATAGTAATCTCTTTGTTATCGTCAACTGCACACTACACTCACTGGACATCTCATCTGTCCTCCATCTGCCTAAACATGCAAGTGCGTTGTCAGCTGATCTTTTTTGATATTGGCACACATTGCAGACAGGTCCAATAGGCCAACCAGACATCGTGTGTTCGGACGAGCATTTCCGATTGATAAAGAACCCATGCAAGGGATCCAGACTCGCCAAGGAAGTCTTGGAGAAATGTCCGCGCCAAAAGCCGGTGAGCATCGACCTCCCTCTCAAGGATGATAAAACATCAAACGTTATCAAACGACGACTTCGGTGCACGCCTGAACGGACATAAGCCGCCTCTACCTTGTAGTTCATCAGCACAACGCCTATTCCAGTAAGACCAATTAAATGCATGCTGCCTATGCACGCCTCATCAAGCTGTATTTATGAGTTTAAATGTAGATGCGGATGCAAATACGCTGGGGCGCGCTAAAAGGCAGTTGGCAATTCGGTCAGGGAACACATGCCGAAGTGGCTGCTAAGGGTGGATAATATGGTACACAGAAGTTCAGTTACGAAGCACCTAGTGGACACGAACCGTACGGTTGGCCCAATGACTACATCTAAGGCCCCACTTCGGACGAAGACTGGGCGTCTCCCACGCTTTGCGGGGGCGCTACAATGTGGGAGAGAAAACCAGAACTCAGTAAGCAGCCGGATCACGTGATCAACACCGCACTGCCATACTGAGGGTTGATAATGGACATAATCCTGTCCCCGCGCCCGTCCTTTCACTTCTACTCCCCGCATGACCGACCGTTGTCCCGTGCGCTGCAGTCCTTATCACGTCCAGCAGGTTTTTACTATAATCTGAACTCGCTCGTTTAGATAACTTCCGTGTCCCTCCCCTCGCCATGTACACCGCATACTAGACTAACAGCCCATCTTTTGTTTGCCTACCACGTTTCATCCTCCTCGGTCGACCGCTGATTGGCGGCTCGTCTTTTCTTATAAATACGCAATGACATTATGCAGTTTAATAAGAGGCCACAGACTTTATGACGTCATTAGACTCTGCATTTTTCGTCGTTTTTACCTTGTTGAAATCTCCTTGTTATCGTCCATTGTGCAAGAACCTGTACGTGCAAGTGCGTTTGCGGCCGTTCTAATAAGGCCTTTTTACTTTTTACGGGCCACTTGTTGGAATTCGGAGTCATCCAGCCGTCGTTGCATAAGTGGTAACTGCGGGATGGCAGTTGTACGCAGTCTTTCCATGCCCATAGCCTCGTTGGAGCATCACTTCACGGGAACCTACAGAACTAGCATTGCCTTCTCTCCACCTCCTTGCCTGAAAACCCATTCTCCGACAGCCCCCACGTTGGCTCACCTAGCGGGTTCACCTCACTTGGGGCACCTGCTCCCCCCAGAGATTGATAACATTTAAATTGCACACAGTGTATTCTGCCAATCTCCAAGTGCACTGTAGCGAAGAGCGACATGATGCAGAGCGCGCAGATAATTACGGAGAAACTTGAGGGCACACTGTCAGATGGATTTATTTAAATTTGTTTGAAAGGTGCGCATAAGGGTTTGAAAAAGGTGCTGTTAATAGTTTCCAAACAAAAAGTCAAGCATCTAAAACACCCTCTTCAAAACGAAGCAGCATGTGAAATGAGGTGAAAAAGAAGGTAAAAAAGAGGATGAAGAGACCACCTGCGTGACCATTTTATCTCAAACTCGCACAAACAAACGCGAGATCACTGGTATTATCCGTCTTTGAGCGGGTGGGAGAAGGGCGATGAAGACTACTTAGCCCAACAGAGCTAAGGACACAGATGACATGTACAAAATACTGAAAGAATAAGACTGTTGGCGAGTTTTGGCGATCGAGAATTAAGAAGCCGGACGGTGAGGCAGGCACAAAAGGATGAGATAATAGACAGTTAGGAAAGACGATCTAATTCCTCCTGTGGTCTCGTTTCTTGAGGGTGTGAATTTGCATACGCTTAAAATGCGTGTTGCAGGGGATTGGGTGGACAGGGGAAAAGATGTGGTACGGAATGTATTAGTGAGGCAGGTCACAGCCACAGGAGTCGTGAGCGAAGACAGCGACGCTTGATGAAGGTGGGGGGGGCATACATGGAGCTACTTAGAGGTCGATATGTTAAGGCTGGCGGCCAGAAGTTGTTCCGCAATGGGCATCTGCCGCTGGCCACCTGTTGAAAGATGATTCGGTGTCAGAGGACCACTAGTCGCGACTTTACTTAGGAGCGTACGTTGGCCCACAGGACAGGCCTCAGACGGAGACTCCGAGGCTCCCAAATTTCGCGTCGTGCCAGCGGTGACGCGTCGTTGACGATTTTTTGGAGGAAAGTAGCCATTTCGCGTGAAGAAGTAAAGGTCGTCCAATTCCTCATACACCTGGTCGACTTGTTCCGGGGTAAAATTGCAGTCTGGTCCAACTCGAGGGTCTCTGCCAGTTTCCTTGTAGATGACCTTTGCGAGAGCTGAAGAGATCTCAAAGTTCTGTGTGGAATTTTGATTTTGAGTTCGACAGGCTTCCAGAAACTTCGAGCTGATTGGTGGTCTTGGCTCGTTAGTCACATTTTTGAGGTAGCGCAGAAGGTAACTTAGGGATTCGCGGGGGTGTGCGGTAGAAAGGAAGTTAGTGGTTCGATTACGATGACTGGCCGCCAGACGGTGGTAGATGGGGTCCTCCGAGAAACCGATCTGGAAGAGGTGATCTTGTAGCAATGTAGGTGTAATGAGGAAAAACCGATCCGGTGCGTCGATCGGTGCAACAATTAAAATATCCCCGCGCTGTAAGGCACGCAGGCGAATAAAATTACGCTCCGTGAAGGAGATGCCGGGAACGGTGGGAAAGATATTGACCGGTTTGCTAGACTGTGCCGTTGCGTAGTCAACTCCGCCGGAGTCTCCGCTCAAGCTGCTGACGTTGCTGCCACTATTCAGACGCCGTTCTGGCACCGCAACTGGACTGATGGAAAGTGGGAGACGGAACTTACGCAACAGGCTGGAGAGCATATGTACGCCAGAAATGTTTTCTGGTCCGGCAAGCGGACTGAGCGCCAGTTTTGACGGAAAAACGGCTAGACTGGAGGCTTCTTCGGTGCCGAGGTAGTAGAGTTTTCGTGGGGCCGTCTGGGCAGTTTCCGGTTGTTTGGTGGAGCGCTGTTTCTCGACCGCCAACACCAGGGGCAGTTGTTTCACTTTCTTGCCACGTTTAACGGAGCAAGAAGACAGAAAGTCTACGTAGGTGAGGAGTGTGCCTGGTTTGAGGACGCATGGAGCGCTGGAGGATATAGCATTCATCGTCATCGCTTCGGATACGATGGACGAGGATATAGGGACTGGTGGGGGTGCACAATTCTCTGAGATCGGAGCCTGTGACGGTTGCACTGGGGGCAGCCAGAGGTGTTGAGGGGCAACTAGACAGCGTAGTTCCCGTCGCACAAGGAAGATGGGGGGCCGGGCACGACGCAGGTCTTCCACTGTAGTCCAGTGTGGTACGGCCTCGTGATTTTCATTCATGACCTCATACCATCCGCGACACTGGCGGAACATTATCAGCTTGGCTACGGTCTCGCTGGTAGACGTAGGCACATGACTGTGCAGACGGGAAAGAAAGTGTCCGCTGGAACGCGATCCAGCGTTATGGTTGTCCAGAATCTTCTCCCAAGTCGCCTCGCAGAGGATGGCGTCGAAGAGAGGGAAGAGCATGAGGGTGTCGTGCCCGCGGAGAAGGCATCGGCAAGAACTGCGCTGGCAGATAGCACGCACAAACTGTGTCGTCTGCGGTCCCATAGCACAGCGCATCTTTGGCATGAGTTCAAGCAGTGTTTGTGGAGAGTCTGAGGGCCATTGGACACCTGTACGTGGCACGAAGGCAGTGGAAGGGGAGCGTGAGGCGCCGCCTCCGCCCCGGCTCCCGTTTGGGTAAAGATCAGTGCGGTCATCGCCTTCTTCCTCTTCCTCCTCATCATCCTCATCCTCCTCCTCCTCTTCATCTTCTCCGGCAGAGGAGGATGGGGAGGAGGCGGACAGTCTTACACGCTCGTCACTGGGATAACGACTCTGCCCGATAGAGGCAGGCACAGTAATCCGGTCTTCAAAGTCAGCCGACCGGCTGGCTTGAGCCTTCTGAATACTCCGCCGAAAGTGCTGGTTTCGTCTGTAGGCCTCCTGGGGTTCCAAGCCGTCCAGATCGACCGGATCCTCGTTGTTGGCTCCAGCAACAGTCCCAGCAGCATCTGTAGTTGTGTTATCGATTTCGTCATAGGCCGCGTCATTGTCACTGGTACTACTGCTGCTGCTCACGGCGGTCAAGTCACCGGGTGGATGAGCACGAGGGGAAAGGAGGTTGTTGCTGTCGACACTGCCGTCGACGGGATCGTCTGAAGCCTCTTCAGAGGTCGCCAGGTTGGTGGAGCTGGGTGATCGGGCGGAGTAGTTATTCTGTTCGGCCCAGCGAAAGGGGGAGGAATTAGAGCCACCGGTGGACTTGCTGTCCGCCGTGTGCTTCCTGCCCCCGTAATTTTTGGTGGCCGCACCACTAGTATTAGTACCAGCGATTCGTCTGTACAAACGTTCAGCTGACTCAAAGAGATTTGGCATTGTTCAAGTACACATCCAGTGGAGACAAATCTACAAGTGCACAACAACAGCGATGGGTCAAGACTGTTATTATAATCTTTATCCGATACGCGCGATAGGTGAGTTACGGGTATCAACTAAGAAAACGTGATTTCGATCAACATCCTTTTCATTGCCGAAAAATGTTTCCCACGGGATAGATATGTGACACTAGAGTCATGGGAGATCTAACAGTTTCGTGCACATAGATTGCAACTATGATGTCTGCACTATTTGGATAGGAAGAAATGGGCCGAAAATCCCCCTATAAGTCCAAATGCGTACAGATTACACAAACTTAGTATTATCATTATTGGTTTCATCACCACTATTACTTTTGGTGCATCACCTACCACTCCTATAGTCTTCATTCCTGTGAGTCGGTATTTATGGAAGATTGCTCCAGTACAGATAACAGGCAGATTTCGCCGTCACGTTTGATGGGCAGAATTGTCCAGGAAGTTGGGAGGGTATTTTATCCCATGTCTTTCTCTATACCTCATGTATAGTTTGATCAGATTGGCCTAACAACCGTTAGGAGTGTTCAACAGCTTCCAAAAATAGCAACCGCATCGCACTCATGCGTACACAAACATGCGGCACAGCTCCAAGGGGAGATGTAGTATCCCAATGCCAGGCGTCCTGAGGTCAAAAAACGCGGTCATAACCCGTATGACTGCTCCAAAAACCGATGACCTTTATAAATAGTATCTGCTACCGTCACCTGGAATCTAAACGCAGATCAGCCAAAACCCTATTCAGTTGGAGCAGACAAAAAATACGGTCTGTTACGCGAAACCGAGATAGTGTGTGACGTTCGCTCATCCCTGGTAATACATGTTTACAAAAAAACAAGGTGCCAGACCCATGGAAGCAAAAAAACTGAAAACTCGACCGAAAAACCCCATTTGACGTACAGTGGTGGAAGTCAATGAAAGCACACAACGGCAAGTGAGCGCTGGCGTTCACCACAGACCTGACACAGTGAAAGGCTGCTTGTTCATGTTATCGAAATACAGTAGGTGGGCTAACTCATTAAATCTCAACAGAAGTTCCGAAATGCGTTTTCATTTCGAAAAGATTGATTAAGTAGGGTTGTAAAACGCATCATCGTACAGGATAATTGTATGATAATTCAATCACCTCTGGACGTTGGCTTTCGAACAAACTTTTCTCCGGCTGCATCTAAAAAACCATATTCTGCAAAAATGGCTACTTAAGTAGCATGCATCTACTCATTGATTTTTGATGCCCTTAAAGATTCAATTATATTTCATGGAAAACATGCATGAAAGTACTTATTCTTTTGCCCATTCAGTAGAAAACTACGTCTTCTTTCAATTTTACACTCAAAGGAAGGATATAATTCGATTTTAAAAAGTTTCGAATTGTGGCATTTTTTAATACCGTGAAATGGCCCTTCATAAAACGTCATGTCTCTGCTTTTACCAACGTGGTTTGTAAATTTAACAAAGTGGCTCAACTCCAATGCTACATTTTATGAACCCCATATGGCCTCCTCTTAATAGCGCAAAAAATGTATGGTTTTCCGCACGCGGAAATTATACAGCTTGTAGTTTGGGAACTCTGAATGCAGGTGTAACAGCAGGCCGGGTTCACAATTATTCGGGAATTGGAAAAGTTTTATAAAACCGAATTATACCCTTCATTCGAGGGCAAAATTGAAAGATGTAATTTTCTACTGAATGAGCAAAATAACGAATATTTCTGTATTTTTATGAAATATAATTGAATCATTGGGGGCATAGAAGAACAATGAAAAATACACTCTTCTTACGTAGTCATTTTTTACGAAGTATGGTTTTTGCATACGGCCGGAAGGAAAAGCATTCGAAAGTCGGCGTCCTGAGGTAACTGACGTATTGTAGAATTATACCACATAATGATTGGTTTTACAACCCTACTTAATTGACCTTTTCGAAACGAAAACGAATTTCGGAATTTCTGTTGAGATTTCATGAGTTAGCTCACTTACTATATTAGCAACTGTCCAGGCCCCAAAGCTCGTAAAACACCGACGGAAAGCATTAGATCTATTTTCGATTAGAAGTAAATACTCAGGTAAAGCTGTAGCACAGATTATCATGGATTATGATCTCAAGCCATTTGAGGCACAGGCTCGGACTCTGTCGACCGTGGCCCAAGTGCGCGGCAGTGTTGTTCGACGAGACGGAATACGCCCAGCCCCTTTTGGCTTGGTGGTGGTACGGTGACTGCTGTTGAGGTACGACTTGCTGGAGACGGCAACGACGACCTTATTCGCCAACTCTGTCGGTGAAAAATTCTGCAGAATGATTTGAAAGAAACGGAGGGACAGTGTGCAGGAAGTGCCATCTCTGAAAGCCTCCGGTATCTCAGGGCAGAGGAGACTGGGGACCGCCAGTCGCGTCTGCTTTGCATGAACGTCTCCCTGGGCAGACTTTGACTGCCTAAGCCTGGATGTGACTCTTTTTTCCACAGACCCAACTATAGAACACTCAACCTACCTAGAGTCTACAACACTTTCGTGATGCACCAAACGCTAGCACAGACTTATCCATTAGTCTGTTTTATTGTATATTTGAAAGGCACTACCGATAATCTGGCACCGCCACGGTCTACGGCGCACGTAGGGTTTCCCTGCCACAGGCAGCGGTATGTTCTCTATACATCGGCGGTAAACAATCACCCTGTACGAAAAATATCGCTGTCAAGACTCCAACACTACTACTTAAGTAGCATGCACTTTCTCACTGATTATCGGTGGCCTTAAAAACTCTATTATATTTCATGGAAAACGTGAATAAAAATATTCATTCTTTCGCTCATTCAGTGGTAAATTACGTCTTCTAATTTTATACTGGAAGGAGGGATATAATTCGGTTTTAAAAAAGTTTCTCATTATGGGACTTTTAAATACCGTGAAATGGCCGTTCATAAAACTTCATGTCCCTGCATGTACCAATGTGCCTTGTAAAGTTAGCAGTATGGCTCAAATCCACTACCAAATTTTATGAACCCCATATAGTCTCCTCCTAATACCGTAAAGAAATGTATGGTTTTCCATACGCGGAAAATATACGGCTTGTAGTTTGGAAGCCCTGAATACAAGTGTGACGGCAGGTCAGGTTTAAAATTATTCGGGAAATAGAAATGTTTTTGAAAACCAAATTATACCCTCTTTTCGAGTACACAATTGGAAGAAGACGTAATTTTCTACCGAATGAGCAAGAGAATGATTATTTTAATGCATGTTTTCCATGAAATATAATTGAATTTTTAGGGGCATCGAAAATCAATGAGAAAACTGCATGTTACTTAGGTAGTCATGTTTGACGGAATATGGCTTTTACATGCGGTCGGAAAGAAGTTTGTTCGAAAGCCGGCACCCTGAGGTCACTGAATTGTTATAGAATTATGCTGCAAAATGGTTCGTTTTACAACCCTACTTAATTAATCTTTTCGAAACGAAAACGCATTTCGGAATTTCTGTTGAGATTTCACGAGTTAGCCCGTCTACCGTAAGTTAAGGCTTTTTCTGAAAAAGAAGAGGAAGAAGAAGAAACAAAAAGAAAAAGAAGAAGGAAGATGTGGGCAAATAAACCTTTTTTCCGTGCTTCGTTTCCATCAGCTTTTTTCGTTCACCCTACTCTGCTAACGGGCTGATATTTAATTCAACCTTCACCCACGTACAGATTGTGGTAGGGTTTTTCTCAGGTAATTAATTAGCACTAGGCGTAATATGTGAATGCACAAATGCAAACGCACGCAAGTGGTTGGAGAACTCTGAAGTAGATTACGGAGTGGAGAGCAGGGAGGGGTAGGTTATTGATTAAAACCGCACGTAGCTGATGGGGCACGGCGAGAAAGAGACCGATAAAGGAGGTCTGAATTGTGCAGGAGATATTTATAGGCTTCTTACCAGTGCATACATTATAATGTTGCTATTACTATCTGCTGTGCCTCTACCCAAACAGGAGTTGGAGATGTCATGTAAAATGAAAGCATAGTTTGAACAAAAATGTGTTCGAGAATACAGGAGTTGAAGAACGGAAGAATGGCAGGACTTTGCGAGCGGGCTCAGTGTACTGTAGGGCGGTCGTTGCTTGGCCTGTTCTGTTAGACAAAAATATATAAGGATCTTCAAGTTGGAGATAAAGATCCCAATTTTTTTTGTCTTATAGCAATTGGCGGGACTTAACTGATATAAGACGTCCAAGCTGAATGCTTTTATAGCGCCTGCACGTGTAGTGCGCGTCTAAACCCAATGGAACATCGATCAAAGTTCAAGGAGAGTCCCAAGTAGAGCAGAAATAGCATGCAGTGCATTGTTCATAAGTCAATAATAAATAATCAACGACCCTAGTTCAAAAGAGGAAAGAAGAATACACTCAAAGCATCCCCAAGTCTAGCGGTTTTAGCGGCTACGTCCTTTGTATTAAAAAAACCTCCGTGTACTTTCGTTTCGAGTATCTTGGGGACTCGGGCAGTCGTTCGCTTAGTTCATATTCATGCGATTAGAGGCTTATTTTGCAAAGCGGCGGCCGTTCCGAAGGACAGAACCAGTTATCTAAAATGAACTATCTAATCTACATTTTGCCTTTGCTTATTGTGTTTGCGTCGGTGAAATCAGGGCACTAATTGTTTTCTCGAAGGTCGTTTAAATGTAATGTTATGGCATTGAAGAGAACCTTGGATTTCTTCAAGGTCAGTCAAATTCTGCTGCAAAGCGATCATACAATTTAAGCATACAGCATGCCTGCCTCCCTGCACAAATGATATTTTCCCCATTTATTCCAGCTAGCTGCAGGCAAGTTTTATTATTATGCACAGACTCATAGGCTAAAGCAGGATCAATCAGCAGGGAGTCTACTTTTCTGGGCTTCTGAATGTGACGAAAATTGGAGAACAGGCTGCGCGAACATAAAATGGCTGCTCATCGGGGGCCGAATGAGAAGACACAGGAATCCGGACCGTCCCCT